CAAAGATTCTAATTCGATTCTTTCTGAAAACAAAGATTCTAATTCGATTCTTTCTGAAAACAAAGATTCTAATTCGATTCTTTCTGAAAACAAAGATTCTAATTCGACTCTTTCTGAAAACAAAGATTCTAATTCGACTCTTTCTGAAAACAAAGATTCTAATTCGATTCTTTCTGAAAGCAAAGATTGCAAAGATTCTAATTCGATTCGTTCTGAAAGCGAAGATTCTAATTTGATTCTTTCTGAAAACAAAGATTCTAATGCGATTTCTTCTGAAAATGAAAAATTCGTAGATATTACTATAATTAATAAGTCGGAAGAGTTAAAAGACGAAAATGAAACAAAATCATCACATTTAATTTCATTGATCAAAAGTGTTCTGAATGATGATCACGTCAAAAATATTGAAGATAGTGTTGTTCCAGAATCGATTCGTACAGAAGAATAATTTTAATTTATATTGATATGTATTTGTATCTAAATAAAATAATTTAATAAATCAATTAAATCAATTACAAATTTAAAGAACTGAATGTTACATAAGCATAATATGTTAGATTATAGATCAAGACAAAGTCACCTGACTTGTTGGATTTGCAATAAAAAATTTTCGAAATTATCTAGATTCAACCTCTTTCCTTCTAATAACATTAATAACGAAGGCACAAACATAATGTCTGAAAAAAAGATCGCTAAACGGTCGGGAACACTGACTACGGACGAAACTGCAAAACAGATTGCACAAGCTCTCTACGATTTAGAAAACAATGTACCAGAATTAAAAAAAGACTTGAAACCGTTGCAAATTACTGATGCCAAAGAGGTTAGTCACAATAATGGGACTAGGAAACCATTTTCAAAACTTTCAAATTCTGAACATTATTCACCAATCCCTCTAACAATGAGGGGTGGAGACTTTATCTGTACGAATAATTAATCATCTTGTTATTATTAATAATGACTCTGTTTTTTTTTTAAAAGTACGAATTAGGTGGGGGTAAAAAGGCCATTGTGATTTTTGTGCCAGTTCCTTTATTAAAACAATTTCACAAGGTTCAACAAAGGTTAATTTTTCAATTCTTTTTTTTAAGATGTTTTTCAATTCTTTTTTTTTACTGATAAATTTTAGAAACTCCAGGCTCACCCGGGAGTTAGAGAAAAAATTCTCAGACCGGCATATAGTTTTTATTGCAGATCGTCGTATTTTGCGTAAACCCAGCAGAAAGTCCCGGGTTAAGCAAGCTCGTCCTCGAACCCGTACACTCACTTCGGTACATGAAAAATATCTAGAGGATTTAGTGTATCCTACCGAAATCGTGGGCAAAAGGACAACTGTCAAAGTTGATGGCAGTAAAATCATTAAAGTGTAATGTATCTTTTTCTTTTTTTTAAAAAAAAAAATTATATTTGTTTCCAAAGTACTGTTATAGATTTAAAAGTTAATAAATATGAACAATTATATTTTTTAGATTCCTCGATAGTAAGGATGCCACTTCGTTAGAGTACAAACTCGATACTTTTAAATCCGTTTACAAAAATCTCACTAGCAAGGATGTCGAATTTAAATTTCCCGCTCATCAACTTGAATAAAATTTTTAATTTAATTTCTGGAAAAAGATTCATTCATTAAACAATAATGTTTATTAGAGCAGATTATAAAAGCATTAAAATAATAAATTTTGAAATGTAATGTGTTGGGATTAATTTCATTATTGGAAAAAAAAATTATGTACGAAGTTTATGAGACGACTAAAACGATACATTTTACTCTTGAATAACTAATTGATGGCTCATTCTGTCAATGTATATATCACTAAGCGCCAAGTACTGAATATGTTCCGTTGTTTTTGGGGAAATTAAAATCTTTAGGTGGTGATTGCTACTGATAAAGCATGATTCTTATTACAAAATTATATAAGGATTTGTATCACATTTTATTCGCATGTAGAGAAAAAAAATCGGATTAAATTTTACCTCGAAATTATAAATCGAACCTAAAATTTAATAGGTTTATAAAGACTCTTGAACCTATAACCGCTAAATATGTTAAACATTAGTATCTTGAACAAAAAAGTTACCTTTGGTGATCTTGTTACACGAAATTTTTTTATATCAATTTTCTCGTTTTTATCGTCTAAAGAAACGAAAAAATTTATTAAATTTTTGATTTCACTCACATGACAATAAAAATTGTCATATACTGCTAACAATAATTCAATATGCAAAAAATAATACTATAAGAGGTGCAGCACGAAAATATTGTACATTGGTATCAAAAGGAAGAACAACATAAGGAAAAAACAAATGGGTTGATGCAGGAAAAAAGCCTTTATATCCCAAGGCTGAAGAAAGTTTAAAAAAATGTATTATTATAATAATAAATCTTGTATATAAATAATTTTTCAAATTGTTACTGGTGCTTATTCAGAGATGGTGGTAAGACGATTATAAAACCACGATTTAATCGAAGATTATGAAAATCGTAATTAACCAAAATTTCAACTCGACTATATAGTTGACTAGCAATTAATCGCGTTCATAATCACGATTCCTATCTCTAAAGTCTTTTGCTCATTAATGTTTCTATTGTTCATTTTTTCGTGTTACTTGGAAAGACGTGTGGCATAACTTTGTTTCATTTTCTTGTCGAATAGCATTGCATGTAATAAATTTATCACTCATTGATTCATTAACTACGTACTAACAAGATTTATTAATTAAGTACCAAGATTTTATAAGAATTTACTTTCTTTAATGTGGCTTTTACACTATGGTACATTGATTCAAAAAATTAACTAACAATTTATTATAATCTGTTAATTTAATAACATGATAAAAACAAATTTCAAAATGAACAGATATATATATATAAATGCGATAATTATTTTCTATATATATACTATTGTTACTGTAATACTATTCTTTTTTAGTTCTAACCCTGTTAAAAGTCATGTCAGCCTCTATACAATTTAATTGCCAGAAATAATTTTAGCTGCCGAAACTGAAAATAATTTTGGCTACCATAATTATTTTCAGCTGCCATAATTATTTTAGACTGCCGAAATTATTTTAGGCTGTCGTAATTATTTTAGGCTACCATAATTATTTTTACATGACGAAATTAATTATAGATATTGTAATTAATATTGGTTATTATAAATATTATCAATATATTAATACTACAATTATATTAAGTTATATTTGCCAAAATTTATTTTATTATAAAAATGAATTACATTATAAAATTTATTAAAGTTATTTAAAATTAAAATAAAAAAGAAGTTATCATATTAAAAATTATTAATTATTAATATTTGCAGATACATTAATTATTTCATCAATATCATAATCTTCATTATCTTCAATTACTACATATACATATTATATTATTATTATTATTATTATTATTATTCTTATCTGAAAATTTAGTAAAATCTAATATTTCTTCAACTTGTAAATTCTTTCCATTATCATTTGTAAAATCATAATTATCAGCCAATTTAATAATCTAGATCTTCTGAAAATAATAAAAACTTAATCCAACTACTTGAAAACTAATAAAAATAATAAAACAAATGAAGTATACTTATCTTTAGTTCTATAAATCCCTTTTAAACCTTGAAATTACTTTTCTTTCTTGTCTAGAATCTAGACTTTAAATCTATAAATGGTACTGTGCCACCTGATTTAATTATAAAAACTGATCTAAAAATAATCAAAAAATAGTAGTTAGTATCTGTATGTACGAAGAAACAATAAAATAAACATCACAATACTTCTGTTAACCTTTCTAAACTTTGAAATATCTTATAATTTTGGTTTATTTTTAATCTTACCAATCTATAATAAAAATAGTCAATTTAGCACTGGTTGAAAATTGATAAATAATATACATATCGGGTATCTGATATGTATATTATTTATCAATTTTCAACCAGTGTAGTAGACTTGTAATTGCCAAAATCAAAAAAAAAAAAACTATAATTACTGAAATTAAAAGAAAAAACTTACTATAATTTATGTCAAAACTCAATAAAAATAGATATTAGTATATAGACTATACATGTTTCCAAAATTGATTTTGGATTTTTGAGATATTTCGACTTTTTGAGATTTATGCAAAATCTATTCTATATATAGAAATAAAAAAAATATCTAGTTATATGTATCTTTAATCAAAGAATAAATCTGAATGGTTAAAAAATTTCAGATTTTAAGTAAAATAATTTTGTCTTCTATGAAAAACTATTTTAACTTTTTTTCCTAAAATTGCAATTTCGGGGTTCCAAAATAATTTTACGTGTGAGTATAATATAGACATAAAAAATAGATTTGTTTATTTGGTAGACTTTTATTGTATAATATTTGCGAGATCCACAGAAATTTTTTTATACCACAGATCACCTGACCCAATCATCTATTATAATAATAAAAATAAAATAATTATCAAATAATTTTGGCAGCCTAAATAATTTTGACAGCCTAAAATAATAATGGCAATCAAAAATAATTACGGCAGCTGAAAATAATTATAGCAGTTGAAAATAATTACAAACGTTGAAAATAATAACAGCAACTAAAAATAATTATGACAACTGAAAATAATTATGATAGCTGAAAATAATTACGACAACTGAAAATAATAATAACAACTAAAAATAATTATGGTAGCCAAAAATAATTACAGTAGCCAAAATTATTTTCAGCATTTTTGAATTTTAAAAGGTAATACTGAAAATATTTTTAGCTGCTGTAATGTCATAATACTGTAATTCTGACTTAATTTTGATACCATCTATAGTTACAGATCATGTGACCTTAACTGCTGGGTCAAGATCACTTGATATACATATATCAAAGTTTCGTTATTAGAAAATAATGTATTACAATTTATAAAAATCATAATAAAGTATCAATTATTTTTCTTGCCATTAATGTAACATATTGGGTTTGTGAAATATAAATTGTATATAATATTATGCATGTGATTGTCAAAAATAATTTATACATTGTGTCTAGTTAAAATTTATATAAATTGATTATAAGTTTTTTCCCATTCTTCCATAAGATCATCAAGCCATGCAATACTTAATCTGTTTTTTAATATACTGTGATATAATAATTCTTTACCAACTAGCCTTTTCTGATCTGTTAAAAATTTGTAATATTTTTGATATCTTCATTCCTTTTTATTCATCCACGATAAAGGTATATATCTCTTTTCAAACTAGTAGGAAAATATTTCATGGCCCATTTATTTTTCTCAGCTTCAGTAATAACTGAAAATTTTTCAGGATCAATTTTATATTCGATGATATATTGGCATAAACCAGTCTCTAGTTGATAAAGGCAGATTTTGTTTGATACCCTTACTTGAATTTCTGGTAAGCTCTATATAACGATTATAACTTTCTTTTGATCAATACGAAAAGGACAATTAAGAAAATAGTGATTATCTTTATCAAGACAGTTTCAATCACCCCATATTTCTAAATATGTATGTACTGTCATATCAATATGTGAACAAGAGTCTGAAGGATAATTAATATTCTTTAACTAAACTAACTTAAACTACTTAAATAATTCTCAGAATTTCTTGAGAATTACTAAGATCAACTCAATTCAATTATTTAATAATGAATTCGAATGAATATTACAAGGTGAATTCTTTATTGTACAGGGTTTTAGCACATCAAATCAGCTTGTCTGCTTAATAAGATAAGATGTATATGCTAAAGAGTATTTATACAGGATTAACTCAGGTTTTATTAAGAATTACATGACAAATTAACAAATTAAAGATTTAATGGTGATATTTAATATGATATAGCTTTATTAATAAATATAATAATAAATATAAAGATAAGATATAATATAAAAATAGAAATTATAAAAGTAAAGATAAATATTAAAAGGATTAAATAATGTATTAACTAGAAGAAACAACTCTTTTCAGATCTCTTAAACTCTTGAAAACTTTCACAGCACAGAACTTGAAAAGGACATTTTTTTTTACTTAATGAATTACAGAAGTATACATATGTATTTCAAGAATGTCAGAAAAAAAAAATAACTGTAATGTTTCACCTTCAGGCTATTCACTAAATGGATCAATTTGAGAATATAGTATGGAACAATCTGATCTGACAGAAGGAATAAATCAATCCCATTTATGCGTGCTCTTTTGGAGATACCATCTTCAAAGCATCTTTTTTTGCCGATCATGTTGCTCTGCTTTTTCTTCCTTCTGGTTCTACAAGATTCCAACCAGTTTCTAAACCATTTTCACCTGGTCACCTTTTAATCACGAATGGTTGCATTTTCAGCAAACCATTTCAAATATTATGCGGGAATCACAACTTTGTAGAATGTGACATATGCAGATCTGAAATTTTAACGAAATATGTATTCTTGTTCTCACAGACAAGTATTTTTTGCAGCAATTTGTGTTTCACCAAATTGGTATATACGTTGAAGTTCTTTATATGTTTATCCTATTAAAAAGTGGTCGGTCAACAAGACAAAATAATTTTAAAAAAATGCCACTATGGATGTAATGCAAGAATTCATTGAAGTACATCACAAACGGAAGAAATTATCCATTACTAACAACGAATATTCTGGGCCGATTGTCAACAGAAGTACGTTTCATTATCGGGAGAACATATTTATCCGGAAAATTGACTAAGTATTGGATTCGCTAAGAGGGTTATTACACATCATAACTTTTACCTTCGTTGAAACCGGTATGAAGGGCCTCTCTATCTACATTTTACATTTAAAAAAATTCGAATATATATGCACGATTATATGCCTTAAATTTTTTTCTTCTGTTCTCAATGGCGATCAAAGCGCCCTGCTAGACAAGAATTAGAGTTCATGGGAACCTTAGGATCCAGTTCCGTTTCCCCGTTCAATCTATGGCTTAAAACCAAATTCTTCAATAGTACATAACATATGATAAACTAAAATTTTGCATTTCTTCGACATTGTAGCTTAAACAAGCAAATTAATTTTATAATCACGGATAAATCTCGTGTGATCTAACTCCGGCGTATTAATTGTGCTAAATGAACTTAATAAATTGGAATCACATTTTCAGACAAAGACTTTAATTGTGTTGTGAATTTCCCCGAAAGAATTTATCTGATCTGCCGCTTATCAAATACTTTTTAACTTTTTATAGAATTTCTTCAAAATCGTGCAACAAAATACAATGATTACAACAGCTACACATAACTGCGCAGCAGATTTTTTCACAATATATAAAACCGCACCACAAACAAACTTCAACAAATTTACAAATTTAATTTGGTTAAATTATAAAAATTTTTTAAAATGAATTCCGAAATTAGTGAATTACGTGAACAAGTGGAAGTTCCTAATGCTATCAAAGTTGTCAATGTTAAAGAATCACATAAACTAATGAAAGTTTCTAATACTGTCGAAGTTAAAGAATCACATGAACAAGAAGTTCCTAATGCTATCGAAGTTTCCAATGTCAAAGAATCACATGAACAAGTAGAAACTTCTAATGTTGTTAAAGTTAAAGAATCACATGAACAAGAAGTTCCTAATGCTGTCGAAGTTGCCAAAGTTGAAGGATCACATGAACAAGTGGAAGTTTCCAATGTTAAAGAATCACATGAACAAGTAGTTGATGTTACCACACCTCTACATACTACTGACGTTAAAGAATCGCATGAACTAGTTACCATTGTAGAATCACAAGTACAAGTTTCCATTGTAGAATCACAAGAACAAGTTGATAATTCTGCCGCTACTGAAGAATCACATAAACAAGTAGTGGATATTGAAAGTATTGATAATCATAATGTTGATAATAAACCCAAAAATAAATTTATTATTTGTGTTGGTGTTCCTGGATCAGGTAAAAAAAAAAATTTATTTAAAAAAAAAAAAAAACTTTTAAGAAATTAAATATTTAAATTATTTCATTATCAAATTATTAGGTAAAACAACATTTGCTAAAAATCTTTGCAAAATTTATCCTGAAGTAAGGTTCCTTTTATTAAAAAAAAAAAATTACATATAAAAATTTTGTAAACTTTACATTTGCAATAATTAATATTCTTTGTCTTGTCATTAGACATGGTGTAGAATTAATCAAGATGACTTGGGAAATCGTCGAGCATGTGAAGATTTGGTTAAAAAAAAGTTAAAGGAGGTAAATTTTAATTATTATAATTATTACTATCATTTAAATGATTATTTGATTAATATTATTATTAAAATTATTAAATATATATATATTGTAGGGTAAAAATGTAATAGTAGATAGAGTCAATTTTGATAAAAATCAAAGAAAAACTTGGATAGAAATAGCATGGAATTTCGATGTACCAGTTGATGCTATTATTATGGATACTTCCATGGAGGTAATTAATTCACTCATTTTTTTTTTACCCTTTCTAAATGGATAAAATTTTTTTATATTATTTTTCTGATTATTAAATTTATAAAAAAAAAGGAATGTTCAGCACGTATAAACGCTAGAATAAACCATCCAACAGAAGTTCAAGGTAAAAAAGGTATTGAAATTCTTAACAGATTTAGAGGATGGATGAAATTACCTGAACATAGAGAAGGTATTGAAAAAATTATTAAAATAAAACCTCAACCTACTGTCGATTCTTATAATAAACAAGTTATCGACGAAATATTGATGGAATTAGAAAATGCGACAGAAGTGAAACATGATAGAAGTGCGAATGTGAATAAATTAGAAATTCGTGCTAATGGTAGAAGAAGAGGAGGGAGAGGGGGAAAAAGTAGAGGTGAAAATAGAAGAGGAGGCAGAGGATGGGGAAATTCACGTGGACGGAATAATGTAAATTATTACAGTACTTTGGAATATAGTAATAACATAAATGAATAAAAAATTTATGCATTATAAAAATAACTTTAATTTAAATAATTTAAATAAAATATCATTTTTTAAATATCCTTTTTAATAATTTATGAATATTATTAATTTAGTGATGTAAAAGGTTTATCCTTCAACCTATAATTTAAGAAATAGTTGATAGGCGAAAATTTTAGTCTTTTCTTTGCAAATTGAATGGTCCGCTATGATCATCATCGCTATAAAGAGTTTAATAATGAGTTAGTTTTAGTATAAGAATTTAATAAGAGTTTATAAAGAGTTTAGTTATAATGAATGATCAAATAATAAAAGCTTAAAAAGATGGCCAAAAAATATTCAGATATTAAAGATGGAAATTAAATATTTTTTCTATGAAATAACGAAGATATCTTTAATTGCTTTAATAGCCTATACCTCATATTATTATTACAAATATTTTACACGCGAGAATCCACTTCCTGGTCCTTTCCCAATTCCATTTATTGGTAACATTCACCAAATTTTGAAAAATTTTACTTTAGATACGAAAGGATTATTCAAATATGGTGATATCTGTGAATTTTATATGGGATCTCAACGTTTTATTTTGCTGAGCAACGATGACCTTATTCAACCGATTATGAGACCTGTCATTAATAGCCCATTTCATAATAACATAAGTGATGATCATGAAGGACTTAAAGATGCTGGTATATTGAATAATGGTTTGGTGTTTAATAATAATTATAATGAATGGCAATACTATCGTAAATTCTTTTCCAAAGTAATGATGTCCCCCTCATTTATTAAACAATCCGTGATAGCAATACAAAATATTTTTTTAGAAATGGAAAAACATTGGGAGAAACTTGGGGAAGATACAGTATTGGAATTTAATCATTGGTCAAAACGATATTTCTTTGATACCATTTTTGTTACTACCACCAATAAACCTGCTTATGCATTAGTAAATTATTATAATAAAGTAACTCCAAATGAAAAATTTTCTTTACCAGAAAGCATTCTTAAAGAAAGTGATATGTTTGTAGAATCAATAGATACATTCATCTATAGTTTGAGTTATTTCTTTTTCGTTCCAAGAATTATTCAAAAATTTCCTGGAATTAATAGATACACTCAATACTTTATGAATAGCAATAATTGGTTAGAGAATAATATCCGTGAAATTATTAAATCAAAACGAGAAGAGATTGAGAAAACTCCAATTGATCAAAAATTGAAATCTGACATGTTGACGATGTATTTAACGGTGAACACTGAGAGAGATGTTACCGAAAGGATCGCAGATGATCTTCATGATAAACCAATGTCTGATAAAAGTATCGCAAAAAATTTTATGGAAATTATGGCTAGCGGTATTGATACGGTAGGTAATTATTTACCTTAACTTCTTGATGTAATGATTTCCTCCTCCGGTTAAAAAAAAGTATAGTAATAATAACATTTTTATTCTTTTGTACAGAGTTCAAATTCCATGTGCTTTTTAGTTAATTTCTTGGAAAATTATCCGAAAGTAAAACAACGAATGATTGAAGAAATCGAACGTGTTCTTGGCAAAGATCCAAATTCTTTATTTACATCGGAAGATTTATCAAAACTTGAATATGTTGAAGCATTCATAAAAGAAGGTAGGTAATTTATACATTGAATTCAATTATTATGTTTATGTATTGCAGTATATTGTTGATAATGATATGATAATATCTCATTTATTTCTATAATTTCTATAATTTCTATAATTTCTATAATTTCTATAATTTCTATAATTTCTATAATTGCAGTATCAAGAGTCCATGCGCTAACACTGATAAATATAAAAAAAAACTCTGTACCTGCAGTTATAGGAGGTTATGAATGGCCTAAGGATACTATTTTTGTAACAAATGTCGATAGAATTCAAAACCACGAATTATATTGGAAAGATCCTGAAATATTTAATCCAGATAGATTCATGGATAAAAATAATAAAAATCAATTTTATATGTTTGGCGGAGGTTTGAGAAAATGTAAGTAATTTTCGTCTTTAATTATAAAAAAAAGAATACATATAACAACATAATAATAATAATAATAATAATAATAATAATAATAATAATAATAAATTAATTATCTCGTTTGCAGGTCCCGGAAGAAAGTTGGCAATGATGGAAATGAAAGCTACTCTAGCAATGCTGTACCGAAAATATGATATTCAACTGATGGGTCCATTGAAAGAAAGTTTCAAAACGATTAGGCAATGCGATGAATTAAAAGTTAAATTGAAAAAAAAGGAAATTGCTTAATTTTTTTTTTTTTTTAAAAAAAAAAAGGAATATAAATTTCACTGAATCACACAAATAAAGTATTTTTTTACTTAAATATAAATTTTCTGCGCATATACTAATAAATAACCAATATCCTCGTTATTAAAACAAATAAAACTAATTTATTAAACCAAAAAATTATATAAACTTTATTTATTTAAATTATATTGACTTTTAAATGAATGAATGATTAACCTGAACCAGTAGCCAAGTAATGTTTTGGGAGGATTAAATGAGCTTTTCCTTTTAACTTCTAGAACTCGAAATAATAATTTTATTATTGGATGTAATGCTAAAAATTTCTATGGATGTAATTCCATAGAAAATTTAGAAGAACAAATAAACAATGTTTGTATCAACACAAAAAAGAAATCATCAATGGTTTAGTCGCTTGTAAGTTTGATAGTGCGGAGCAGGTCTCGTCCTGTATTAACAACACAATATATCACTATGAGTACTCGATTTTGGCATGGGGAACACTTAAAAAAGAAAAAAAAAATTAACTTTTAAATGACATAGTTAATTCATTTCTCACAGCACAAACTTGAAAAAGATTTTTAATGAATTACGGAATGTATTATCTATGATAAATTAGAAAATAATTTTGGAAATTTGACAAATTTAATTCAAGAAAAAAAAATAACTATAATGTTTCACCTTCGGGCTAATCTTTGAGAATATAGTATAGAACAATCTGATCCGACGGACCGACGGAAGGAAGATTGTGAAGACCTGTTTAATAATGTTATATATAAAAGTTTCACACTAAAGGATCCAAGTAAACCCATGATATGATAAAATGATTTAAGACATTTTTTGTTAAAGATAAGATATATTTTATTTTATTTCTGTTCTATTATTAGTATTCTTTATATAACAAATAGTCTAGATAAAATTCATAGAGATTTGCATTCAGGAAATATATTTTATACAAAAGTACTGATGTAAGAATTAAGTTAGGATTGAGTGGATCAGATGATAGCATTTATCTTCCCCCTGAACAAATTTATATAATTTATGTCTTTATTAATGTCTGGGAAGTAGCGATTTGTGACGTTCATGATCACCAAAGGGGATTTTCAACTTTGCCTGCCATGGTCAAGTCAAAGGATGTTTTAACCAAAAGATTTATGAAAGTATTTCATACATGAATATGTAACTTGAATGAATGAGATGCAAAAAAAAAATACTATTTTGTGAAAAACAAAAAAAATGGAATGATTAAATAAAATCAAGTAATGTATGTATACAATGAACGATAAAGCTAAAAACACAAAAAAAAGGCAAAAGTGTATTAACCATCAGTAAATTTCTAAGAAATATTTAAGTGTATGCACTTTTACTATTTTGTATATCTATACAAGATAGTTTTCAATATTTACAGAGTTAGATTCCAACAATTCTTTTACTACACTTAAAGAGATAGTGAGAAAAATGGTATTATACATGGGTTAGTGAATCTTATTCTAAAATCAATTTCGTCCCTTGAATTCATTAGTCCAACCAATATTCCTAAAAATGATTTATTTTTCAATTGAAGAATCAAAAAATAGTAAGCATTATATTATTTTCATTTTTATTTTTTAAATATATAGGTTTCTGAGCCTTTGATATATTAACTAAGAAGATTTTCACAATGATAAAAATAAAAACATGATTATAAAAAAGAAAGAATACATCATCTGACTAATCATAAGGTAATTCTTCTCACCTCAACTTTTTTTTTTACACTTGCTATTCTCGAAACAACAACAATTATATATTGTTAATCAATTTTTGGAGTAAAATTGTTTTAATTTGGAAAAATGTGAAATCAGAATGAAGTCATAATTAAGTCAGCCGTCAAGAATGAAATAATGAAATCAATTCTATCAGTCAGTTAGAATTGTTTACAGTTTGATTTAATTTAATATTTTTTTTATATTTGCACAACAGTTTTTTTAAAAAAAAATACAATATTAGAAATGATATTATTATGTAAAATAGTACATTATCAGAAAGATCAGAAGCACGCAAAAAATGTGAAATTGTGAAAGTTGATATTGTGCGGAGAAACAACAAAAAAAAAAAAATTTATGTAAAAAAAATAATGCGGGGGATGCATTCAATTATGAATTTATATAAAACCGTAAATTAAATTAATTTCTATTTAATATAATACTGATTATTTTGATCATACTGATTATTTTGATTATTTCGATTGTTTTGATTATGATTATATATCCTATATTATTTGACTTTGTTTTTGGTTATTTTTGTTTAAAAAGATTACTTAGTTTAGTTTCTATATTAGCCAGCTTTAATTTCAATGGCTTTCCGCTGTTCTTGATTTTCTAGTTTGGAAAGAGGTTGCTTAATTGCTTTGAGAATTGTTGATTTTATGTTTTGATTATTGGTTAATAATTTGGCTTGTTGGCTTAGTTTCTTTGGATTTAGTGAGAAAATAAACTAAACTACCAATGATAGCAAAGGTAGTTAGCCAAACTGAGTTTGACAGTTAGCAGGTCGTTTTTGATTTTTCTGCAAATTCTCTAAATGTTTTTCTAATTGAGACAATTCAGTTTGTTTATTTAAGAGTGTTTGTAATTCTTCCTGAGTTAGTTTAGTTTGAAGAATAGTTTTGTAGGCCTCGATCTTGCCGCTTAACTTATCTTTTTGGGAAGATTCGACAGTTTGTTCATTCTGATGGTTAGCTTCTAGCAAAAGGTTAATGATTGGAGCAAAACTTCCTTCTCCGGCTTTTTCTTTTGCTTCATTAATTAATTGCTCGAATGTAGCTTTTTCCTCCCTTGCATGGGGAGCAAGTTCTTGGTATTTCAGTCTGGCTATTTCCTGCCTGAATTGAGTAAAGTCATAGGATTGATTAGGGAAAACCAGGGTAGATAATTTGTTTAATTGAGATTGTAATTCTCGAAAGATTTTTTGTGCCTTGGCTTCGGGTCTAAACAAAGACGAATACTTGAATTCTTTAATGTCAGCAGGTAAATATTCTAAACCTCCTTCAATATCCGTAGCTCGAATATCAAGTTCTCGCAAATTATTCATTTCTCGCAAAGTTTTTAAATTTCCATGGAAACGGTTATAAATATTTTGTTCAATTTTTCCATTATCATCAGTACAGATAAGTAAAACTTCTAACCTAGTAAACGGAGAAAAACAGTCTATGTTCTGGTTATCGAAATTATTGCTGTGTAATTTCAATTCAAGCAAGTTTTCTGCATTAAAGGCGGAAAAGTCAAGATCAGTAAGTAAATTATAGCCAGCATCGAGCTTTCGTAATTGATCTAACTTTGTTAAGTTTATCTCTTTGATTTCATTACTATAGCAATGAATTTCTTCTAATTTTTGACAACTTTTAAGATCTAAACTAGTCAATTTATTATTACTGCAATTTAACCATTCTAAACTAAAAAAATCACTCAAATCTAAGGAACCTGTTAATCCTTTATTGTTGATATCTAATCTTTTTATTTCTTTTATTTCCTCTTTAGAATAACTGTCATCCAACCAATGTTGAGCATTCATCATAAGTGTAAATATCTTGTAAATACTTTTTTGACAAAACTTTAACTAAAAATTGAAAAATTATTTATTTATTGATTGGAAAACAAATTATTTCATTTTTCTATTATTCCCAACATCATATTAATCATATTAATCATTTTAATCATTTTTAATCATTCTAATCATTCTAATCATTCTAATCATTTGTACTTCGAAATACAGTATATGAAATTTATGATCAATATGCATGAGATAACCCATAATTAATTTTATTTATATTATTTATATTATTTATATTATATTTTACTATATCATTAATTATTTATTTATATTGTTTATATTGTTTGTAAATTTATTTGTAAAGTTGTTTGAGTATGATTGGTTTAAAATGCTATGCGATAATGGAATAATAATAATATTAATATCAAAATATAAAATAATATTATTAATCTCAGCCGACATGGTTTGTCATGTGGCATTGATTGGTTTTCGTACATCAAATGTGATGAAAATGTGATTAAATGTGATGTTTGATTAGATATGATAACAAAAAAAAAAAAAAAGAAGTTAAATTAAGAGAATTCAATTGAAGAATTGTTTTTAGAATTTATTTTAACGCAAAATATATGCTGTATCACCCTATAAACTTTATTATTATTTATTATTTATTTATATACGTTATATATAAACTTTATGCTGTATTAACTTGATTGCATAAAAGAAATATTATAATCCATTATCTATTTATTCATAATAATTATAATTCTTTATTATTCAGTTCATTGAATAAAAAATTATGGTAAGATGAAAGAAGGTAGGAAATTATAAATTTATTATTCAATTTAAAAAATTAATTTGCGACTACGTTAATTTTATACTTTTTTTTTTTTGTTACTTCTTTATGGATTACATGTAACGCTAACAAATGAGTGAATAAATGATGAATGAATTTAATTAACTAATTAAGAACTAATTAATCAAATTAAATAAATAATTGAATGTAATAATAAATATTTTCTCAAAAGGTTTTTCGTTTTCTGTGTTAATCACGCAGATGATGGCTGTGCATAATGTTTATTAAGTTATTTGATAAATATGCATTTACATACATTAACTTACATAAAAATATAGATATAAATATCAAAAATTGCGTTATACATTATAAACTTATAAACAAATAATAATCAATCAATAAATAGTAAATACGTAATAAAATAATAATAAATAATAAGAATCAATTATATAATTATATATATATATATATTTAGATTGAATGCATTACCAGATATCAAAGATATATCAATAAACCGATATATTTATCATTCTACATGTCTTTCTAGAAAAAAAAAAACGGTTACCAAAATTTAGATGTACATAGGTCACCTATGATAGGTGGGATTACAAATTATATTTATTTATTTTCATTCTCGTCATAAGGTATATATATGGATATAATGAATGCTTATTATTATCACGATATATATATATTTGGTTGTGACTATCAATAATATCAATATCTGCAATGCAGGAAAATATGAGATCACGAGATATATATGACGTTTTATATATGTCGCTACATATGTCGTTAGATGCATGAGGAAACAATGGATTAAATGCTATTTGTTAAATTTTTCGTTAAATAAAACCCATGTGTCTTTATATATTAAAAAATTAGTAAAAAATTATTATATGAAGTTTCTTTCTTTTTCTAAAAAAAAAAAATAATAATAAATAAAATAAAATTAATTAATTAATTAATTAATTTTTCTTCCCTGAAATAAAAATTTCTTGTTTATTTATTTAAAATTTCTTGTTTATCTAAAAAAATTTTTTCTTGTTCAAATTTCTTGTTTAATTTTTTTTTTTTTTTTTGCTGGATAAAATTAATGAATACAATTATATCCACCGTTTAATTCATATGATCAGAACGTGGGATTGTTAATCAAATTATTATTGATCTTTTTCTAAATTTAATTGTTTAAAGATTAAAGATAAATCGTTCGACACTTTTCAAGTAACATAAGATTGAAAAAAAAGGAACATAATTGCTAAAATTAAATCTCTTTCAATTTTTCCGAAAAATTGGGGAGTTTTCTTAAAGAAGATATGAATAAAATATCATTTCATATAACAAATAAAAATATCAAAAATACCCTATGACGTGCGAATGCTTGACATTCACTTCAATGAAAAATTAAACTTTTTAAAAAAAATATTAATTTTGAATTTTCTTTTTCAATATATATATTATTTATTTATTTATTTATTTGTTCCATATATCATATTTTTTGTATTACAATATATCTTTGATATATATATATATATATATATATACACACATTATGCAGTTCACACAAGAAAAAATAAACAATCGAAAACATGATTTTGCCCCAAAAAGGCATATCAGTTTGAACTATAAAAGATAAAGTAAATATTTACGCATTTTACATCATTTAAAAAAAATAGATATTATAATAAAAAAGGGATCAAAGAACTTAATTTTTGACTCAGGATAAATTTCCTTTTTTTAATAGATAATAATAATACGAAATAAATAAAATAAAAATACGCAAATCATAATAACAAAAAGGAAATTAAAAAGTACATTTAAAAAAAAAAAAAAAAAAAGTACGTAAATGTGTGAATTTAAAATTTCTATGTAAATTTTAATAACTGATAAAATTTAAAGTTTTATGTACTATGAATAGTTAGGAATGTTTAATGATCGTCAATTGTATCCTTAAAAATATTTTTTTTTATACCTTATCTTTTCAAAGATCAGTTTCAGTTACTTTAATTTCTATTTATTTATTTATTTATGTATTTATTTATTTATACACTGTGATTTATATTTTAATCATGTGATGGATACACATTATATACACATTCTTTTTTAATTTTTAATTTTTTGCATTATCAACATTATCCAATAAGAGATATAAATATTATCGCGCGTTTGCATAACATTAAAAAAATATTAAAATCGTGTTTTTTTTTATTTTAATAATAATAATAATAATAATAATAATAATAATAATAATAATAATAATAATAATAATAATAATAACAAATGATAAACAATAATAATAATAAAATACTACCAGTATGAATAAATCAAAAGATAATAATAATAAATAGCAGGAAGTTAATAGTAAATAGTAAATACTGGTCAAACATGGATAAGATGATACAAAGAAGACTAATCCTTTTATACATTTCAATCTCTAAACAAACACATGACTATAGTACGAAATTGGGATTCTTTTAAAAAATTGACATAAACGGATAAACATTTTTCATACCAACGCTGCATTTTTTTTAATAATAAATATAAATTTATAAATTTTATCTCGTTATTTTTGGCTTATCTATTATTTATTATTATTAATTTATTTTATTATTTAACTTATTTATTAATTTTTTTTTACTAAGCTAAATGTCAATTTGATATAAATTGTAATCTAGGTTTAGGTTTTCTTTTTACATTGACTTTTTTTTGACTTTTTTTTTTTTTTGGCTTTTTTTTTGACTTTTTATTCACTTTTAGTTTGGTCTTATCAGTAAAATAAAATAAAAATAAAAATAAAAAATAACCAATAATAATAAAAATTAACTTTTTGAAATTGAATTATTCTTTATTTAGATAAACAGTACATATTAGTGTGTATAAACTACATAACAACATACGGCACATAACTGATATACATAATAGAGATATACATTATAATATACATATTTAATATATTAATTAATTTATATATTAAAAATTGTACTTAAGTTATCAGTTATCATATCACAAAAGAATCAATCAAAGAATTCACAAGCCAATTGTTATCCTCCCTTTGATCTTCATCTTCATTATCTTTTTCACAGTCTATATATATTTATCCCCATTCCCGAGAAAAAAAAAAATTTTTTTTATTTATATTTCTTTTATATTCATTCAAAAAAACAATTCAATAAAATAATATAAAATAAATGTGATTATATATACAATATATACAATACAATACAATATAAATATGTATGTACTATTATATCATTAATATAATATATCATGATAATAATATATTCTTTATAATAAAATAAATACTCGTAAATTTGTAAATAAAAAAAAAATCGTTAATTGGTTGACAAAAAAAAATTTTTTTATAAAAAAACATTTTGTCCAGCACGTTTAATATCGTTTTTTTTCTTTCTCTTGTTTCTACGATATACGATATACCTTTCTTTTATTAATAACAAATAATAATAACAATAATAATAAGAAGAATAGCACGATAAAATTTATTACGAGAATTTTTATTATTAAAAGGTAATAATAATAATAAAAATAAGAATAAGAATATTATATTTATTTTATAATCTTCTTAAAAAAGGATTATAAATAACAAAACCAGTGGGGAAATTGTTTTTAAAAAAAAAAAAAAAATTGAGGAAATAAGAAAATAATTTTGAAGATATTTTTATATAGAAATTATTTCAACTTCCTTTTTATTCCACAATATAACAATTTAATTATTATAATAAAGAAATAATAATAATAATTATTATAATCACATAAGAGATAAGATAACAAAAAAAAAACCAATACCTGCCACAACAACATAACAATAGTCACAACACAAACACTCATATAAACAACAACCACCACCAACAACCATAACATCTGAACTGAAGTTCAAAACTCACTCCTTACTTTATAAATAAAGATAATACCTTATAAATCTCTTTTTTTGTAAAAGGTTGGTAGCTTGGTTGAACTACTTGAAACGATATTTTCAAAATAAAAAAAAGATAAACGGAAAAAACGGGAAAAACCGTGAAACGAATAAACCCTAAAAAGAAGCATAGAACCAAGAAAAACGGTTATCACAGTAAGTGTGTCATCGGTTTATTATTATTATTATTATTATTATTATTACAACATTATAATTTATAATTTATAATATTTATTTATTTATAATTTATAAATTTATAATAATAATAATATAATTAATATAATTAATTTATTTAATTTATTTAATAAAAAAAAAGTATAAAAGAGACAGACAGTTCTTTTTTCAGAAAAAAAAAAAAATAAACTAAAATTATTCCTCACTTTTTTTAAATCTTTAAATCTATTTAATCATTTTTAGACGCTTTTTAATTTTTGAAAATTACAATTCGATTTCGAAAAAATTATATATACATATACAAGAAATAAATATTTGGAATATCTTAAGGTTAACGAAAAAAAATAAAATAAAAGTAACAAACTCACGAGTTATATAAATATATATATAATATAATATAATAATTATATATAAAATATATATATATATTATAATAATTATATATATTTAAATATATTAGCAAAAAAAAATAATAAGAACTTTAATAATAATAAACAATATCAAATAGAACAGTTTTTTTATTATTACAAAATTATTATAACAATAATACTAATTCTCAATTAACCAACAATAAACATTCAAAAAATCATGACTACTTGGGATCAAATTTATGGTAATAACAAATTTACTGGTTTAAAGGATAGTAGTAGTGATGGTGGTAGTGGTGGTGGACGTTATGATTTAGAAATATTAAATAATACTTCACTCACTTTTGCTCGTCCAGAGAGTGAACCTTATTCTCATACCGCAGCAAAGACGAGACATCTTAAAAAACAAAGAGAGGATTTGCCCAGTTTACGTATTGACACAAATGTTATATCTCCTTCATTACGTTCTAAAAGCAACAACAACAACAACAATAATAATAATAATAACAATTATAGTCGATATTATCATTATTATCATTCTCATTCTCGACAACAATTACAATTAAAATTACAACCACCACAAAAATCACAAGAACAATTACAATCTCCACCACCACCACCACCACAACAACAATCACCATCACCTTTTGAAAATTATTATTTTCAACAACAACAACAACAACAACAAGAGGAACCTGAACAATTACCGATTTTGACAATAACGAAGTCACCTAATGATTATAGTAATGTAACTCGTTCACCTAATACTGTAAAATTTAATCTTGATCAAAATCATCTTTATAGACTTGAAGAAGATAATAATAATACAAATAATAATGAGAATAATGAGAATAAGGGAGAATGTGATAGAGAGAATGATAGATTACAAATTAAGAAACGAGCATTACGACGTGCATCTGCACCATCTCATGGAATGGCATTTTATTATTCTGCACCAGAAAAATCTTCTATTCATTTCTTTGGTCAATCATCACAAGATATTAATTTAACTCAAAATAATCTTAATAATCTTGACAATAATCATAATGATGATGATAATAATAATAATAATAATCACAATAATGATAATCATAGTAATGATGTTATTGATGATAATAATAATAATAAAATCATCCTTAATAATAATATTGTTAATAAACTTATTAATAAAAATCGTAATAATCGAAACTCAGTGGTACCAATTGTTCCAAGTCTCTATATTATTGATGATATGGAAAAGGATGAAAAAGATGAATCATCAATTACAACAACATCATCAAATTCATCATGTAATAATAATAATGTTCCATCATTATCACCTTGTTCATCTACATCATCACTTAGTTCTTCAGTTGAAATTCATAGTCCAGCTCAATCTTCAATTATTAATCATCATCATCATCATTATCAACAACAACAAAAAGATTATCAACAGCAACAAAAAGATTATCAACAACAACAAAAAGATTATCAACAACAACAGCAACAACAACAACAACAAAATCATCATCAACGAAGATCGAGTGTGGTTATTGGTTCATTTATGCCTTTAAGGCCTAAATCTCATAGTGTTAGTTCTTATAAACCCGAAGCATTCTCTTTACCAAATATACAAAACTTGGTTACTGGTTCTTCTTATGATGAAATTCCCTGGTCACCAGCTAAAGATTTTTTGGCAAATATAGCTGAATCTACTGCTGTTACAAATTTATCACCAGATGATGAAGGTCAACAAATTGGGGAATATATTATTGGTAAAACGATTGGACGTGGTGGTTTCTCTACGGTTAAAGAAGCTATTCGAATGGATGATCATTCCGAATTTCAAAAGGTTGCGGTTAAAATTGTTCTAAATAATAAAAGATCCGAAAGTAATGATCGTACTCAGGTATGTTTTATTGAGATGAATAATAATAATAATAATAATAATAATAATAATAATAATAATAATAATAATAATAATAATTTCTAATTAATTTAATTTAATTTATATTATAATAATAATAATAGGCACTTCTTGAACGAGAAATTGCAATCTGGAAAAGTCTTAATCATCCAAATATAGTAAAAATGATATCTACCGAAGAAAACAATCATGCTACTTATATATTTTCAGAATATTGTTCGGGTGGTAATTTATTACAATATATTAAGAAAAAGGGTGGGGAACGTAGAGGAGGTGGTGGTGGTGGAAGAGGATTAGATGAAGATGAAGCTCGTAATATATTTTTAGATATTACGGAAGGTCTTCGATATTTACATAATGATATGAGATTAGTACATAAGGATATTAAATTAGATAATATAGTATTAGATGAAAATACTTGGAAAATTTGTGATTTGGGTTTAACCGAATTTCAAGATGGGTTTGATGGTGATTTCTTTTTAAATGGCAGCAACAATAACAATGACATAATTAATGATGATAATTATGCAGCCGGTGGTTCACTAGCTTATTCTCCACCCGAACAAATTCGATCCAAAATTTCTTTAAAAGAACCAAGTGTTGACATTTGGGGTTTAGGAGTTGTCCTTTACGCGATGGTCACTGGTCAATTACCATTCATGGATGACTTCATGCCTAGATTACAATATAAAATTATAAATGGTCGATATGATGAAACTCCACTAAATGATGCTGGAGTTAGTAATCAATTAAAAAGTTTATTGAAAGGAATGTTTAAAACGAAACCTAATGAAAGATTAAATATTAATCAAATATTAGAACATGAGTGGTGTAAACCATGATTATTATTATTTCTTTATTTCATTTTATTTCTTTTCATGTAAATTTTTTTTCCTTTGATTTTTCTTTTCCCTTTTTTCCCCTTTTTTCCCCCTTTTTTTCCTTTTTTCCCCTTTTTTTTCATTTCTTATTTCTTGGGTTTAGGAATTTTTTGGGGGATATTTACAATACATTTTTTTTTACGTTTCGATTCAATTTATATCAATGAAAAAAAAACGTAATAAAATTATGTTATTATATATATTTCTTCATTCATATATTGTATTTTACTTTATTTTTTTTTCTACAAAAAAAAAAGGAGAGAATATTCTTGTGATATCATCACATTCATTCATTTCACTTGTAAATTTTTTTCCCTTTCATCCCTCATATAATTTTATTTTTTTTTTTATTTTGTATCATTTATTTAGATATATAACTTTCAATTTATAATTTCACATACATAACACAAAAACCAAAAATTTCCGTTTCCAATGTCTTTTGTTATTACTCCCACCACATATTCCTTCACGATACTTTTTATATAAATACTTTTTCTTTTATAAATACTTCTTTTTTACTCGTGTTTTAAAAACACGTGTTATATACATTTATATACATATATATATTTTTAATTAACAAAAAAAAAATGCATTTACACAAATATAATATAACATATATATATATATACATATATATATATGTGTATACACATATATACTTATATTGCTTTTATTGTTATTTTTGTTTGCTTGCGCACGTAATTTTAGTAATTTAGTAATCTAGTAATATACACTTTATATGCTTGCCTTGTTTGTTATTGTTTGTTTGTTACTTATTATTATTTATTATTATTATTATATGAAAAAAAAAGAATAAAAGAACATATATATATAATAAACTGCTGATTACTAGAACATTTTCACGTGCATTGAAAAAACATTGAAAAAAAACATCCCATAATCGTGACCAATCATAACCGATAATAAAAATAGTTGGAAAAAAAAAGGTTTCAATTAATCACAACTTGTAAAAGTATTGCCTAGTCATTCAAATTTAATAAATATATAACTTGTTTGACTATACTATTCAAGTTAAGAAAGATTTTTACTACTTCCACGCCGATTAAATTTTTTTTTTAATAATTTTTTTGGGTACTAATCGTGGCGAACATATTTTATTTTTATTTTTTATTTTTATTTATTTTATTTGTATTATTGTTATAGTGTAATTGATAATTTTGGAATTAAATAAATAAAATAAATAATGTAATCCAATCATGTAAATATAATAAGAATCAATCAATCAATCAATTTAAAGTTAATAAATTATGAAAAATATCAGTATACAAGTTGTCACCATAATTAATGATTTAAATCCTGGTAAGTTCGGACATATTTTAATAGTATAATAACATTTTAATAGTATAATAATATTTTAATAGTATAATAATTTTGATAATAGTATAATAATTTGATAATAAATCAATCAATCAATCATTCAATTAATAAATAAATGAATATATCTAATTTTTTTATTTTTATTTTATAGAATATTTAAGAACTCCAAAGCCATGTATTTGGTTACCTCGCACGTGGTGTTTGAAAAATAATGTTAAATCAAATCAAATAATATCTCTATCTTTTAATAATTATCATTCAAAAAAATGTTTTGCATCTGTGAAATTATATTCAAAATATTCAGCATTGTTTCGTGAGAATCCGATTTTTCCTGAAAAATTAAAATTTTCTTTATTAGATGATAATAATAATAATAATAATAATAATAATAATAATAATAATAATAAAGGTGATGATGATAATAATAGTAAAGGTAAAAATGATGATGATAAAGGTAAAGATAAAAATGATGATGATGATGATAAATGTGAAACCCAAGCAATCATTTCGAAATTATTGGCTTGCAATTTAAATATTTGTGAGATATCCGGAAAATTGGAAAAAGGAGAAGAAAAAGAAAAAGAATGTTTGAAATTTCCTTTAAAATTGATGCTTCATGAAGTGGTATTTATCATTTCACACTTATAAAAATTAAAAAAGTTGAAATTAAAAAAAAAAAAAAAATAAATAAATTAAATTATATAATATCTATCTATTTAAACAGATTAGTAACGTACCAGTGGCAAATAAAATCTTTGTATATTCTCCTCCCGAGATACCAGAATTACCCGATCTTGATAGTAATAATAATGATAATAGTAATAATAGTAATAATAATAGTATTGGCATAAATTTTTTTAGAAAAGTTCATTTAGGATCTTTGGTATCACCTAATACTTGGATATGTCAATTTGGATGTAATGGAATGCAATATTTTAAAATTCTCAAAATTTTTACAGAAGAAGAAAATGAAGAAAATGTAAATGAAAAAATTGGGATTATCACAGTTGGTAGAATTTCCGATTTAACAAATATTGAAATCATTTATGAAAATTCGGAGAAATTTTTTCAATTCCAAGAAATTTATGATGATGATGATAATAATAATAATGATAAAAAGAATTTTCAAAAAAAATTCGAATGGATAGAAAAAATTAATCAAAATATAGGTGGATTGGATAATGTGATTAAAGAGATTATTGATCAAATCCATTGTTTTGTGATCTCCGTACTTTTACCAATTAATAATAATAATAATAAACGAAAGTTTCAAATTGGAGTTAAAAAGAGTAAAGGTATTTTGATTACAGGAAAACCTGGAACTGGGAAAACTTCTCTTGCTTTACGTATTGCTGGTAACGTATCACATTATTATTATTCTTATTATTCTTATTATCCTTATATTATCCTTATATTATCCATTTATTTTTAAATTTACTTTTTATTTATTTTATTTATAAGAAACATCCGGACTTCCTTATGTACTTGTTAATTGTCCTGATCTTTTTAAAAGAGGTATTTATATATAAAAATAGATTGTAGCATATTTTTGTATATATATATATAAGATATGATATTTTGATATATTTGATGTATCAGAAAATTCATATATCAGATAATTATTATTACATTGACTTTTTTTATTATCTTAAAAAAAAAAATCAATAGATGAAGGATCTGGAGAGAAAGAAATTTATTTAATATTTGAATCAATGCAAAGACATCAAGTTTCCTTGATAATCTTAGATGAGATTGATATTTTAACTGATGCTTCGGCTAGCATAAATCCAGGTAATAATAATAATAATAATAATAATCATATTCTTTTTCGTTTTCTTCTTCTACATTTAGATTCTTTAATGAATTAATGGATTCTTTTTTAATCAAAAGACTTTTGTTATTTATTATGATTGTAATCATTATAATAATAATAATAATAATAATAATAATAATAATAATAATAATAATAATAGGAGTTGAAGCAAATTTATATTCAATAATTATTAAATTAATTGATTCCATAAATGAGGATAATAATAATAACATAAATGAAAAGAAATCTAAAGGAAAAGTATTTATTATAGGTAGGTTCCATCTCATCTTTATCTTATTACTTTTCTTAATGAATTATCATTTATTTATTGTTTTGTTGAAATGAATTAATTGAAATTTTTTAGGATTATCAAATCGTATTGGGGCTATTAATAAAACTCTGTGTCGTCCGGGTAGACTTGATCGTACATATGAGCTCATAATCAAAAAACCAGAACAACGAAGAAAGATTTTAGAAATTCTAACGAAAGGTATGTTGAATGTGATGAATGAATTAGATTATTATTTGTATTTAATTAATGAATTTAATAATAATAAATAATAATAATAATAATAATAAATTATATATCTAAATTATTATTTTTGTTAAGAAATTCCATTTGCCAACGAAGAAGAGAAAGATTTTATTTTAGAAAAAATAAGTAAAATGACACATGGATTCGTATCAACGGATTTACAATACCTTTGTACTCAAAGCATTATGCAACTTATCCACAATCACCACCACCAAAGTCATCGTCATGATCGAAAGAATCATATTACTTTGGATCATTTTGAAAAAGCTTTACAATTTGTCAAACCTTCGAATCTCAATGAATTCCAAATAAAAGTAATTTTCTTCTTGTTATCATGTCATTATGATATTTATGATATCTGACATGAGTCCACTTTCTTTTTTATTATTATTATTATTATTATTTTAGACACCAGACATTTTATTTTCTGATATTTATGGAATTGATGAAATTATCGAAGATCTAAAGGTATTTTCTTATATTATAATAATTATTGTTATTATTATTATTATTATTTATTTATTTATTAATTATGATATATTGATTATAATTCTTATCTATATATAGTTAACAATAATTGAACCATTTAATAATCCTCAAGAATTTATTGAATTTGGAATTTCTCCACCACGAGGAATTCTTATTTATGGTCCTTCGGGTGTAGGAAAAACGATGTTATGTCGTGCGATTGCTGCTGAAACCGGATTAAATTTTATGTTCGTAGAATGTTCACAAATTCGATCAAAAATAGTTGGAGAATCCGAAAAGAATATTTCCAAAATATTCTCTCAAGCGAAATCGAATTCTCCTTGTATCTTATTTATTGATCAAGTATATATATTAAGTAAAATATTTTGTTATCTTTGTAATAATAATATTATTATTATTAATAACAAAAAGTGTTTTTTTTTTTCATTTTAATAATAAGATTGATATATTAGCACCTGCTCGAGGAGGAACAAATAATATGACGACAACGGAAAATACTTCAGAACGTATTGTAACTAGTCTTCTGATTGGTAATAATAATAATAATAATAATAAAATCTTTTACCTATTATATAATCTTTAATATTTTATTTACCTAACTAATATTATTTTATATTATTATTTTCATAGAAATGGATGGTTTTTTTACTTTGAGATATTATGAAGAACCCGAAGTCGATGTCTTGGTTATTTCGAGTACGTTTTTGTATTATATTATATTTTTTACTTATATCACACACAAGACATAATAATGATGTTGATGGGGATTTTTTTTTTTTTTTAGCAACCAATAGACCAGAAGTATTGGATCCTGCTTTATTGAGACCTGGTAGATTAGATCAACATATTTATATTCCATCACCAGATTCAAAGGTTTCTTAGTTAGAATTTATTTAATTTCAAAGATAATAATCACATTACGTATGAGAGAGATATAGTATAATTATTTTCCTAATTCTAACTTCCTTCCTTTCCTTTCCTCATGCAGCAGAGGAATTCAATTTTAAAAGGAAAATTTAAAAAGATGCCAATAATTTTATCAGAACAACAATTATCATCAATGGTTCAAGTTACTGAAGGATTCTCGGGTAAATATTTTATATATAAGCATAGTTAATCTTTTGTTTAAATTTCGTCTCATCTCGGTTGTGTAATTACTTAATAAATAATAAAATGAAATGATGTAAAAGGTGCAGATTTAGATAATTTATGCAGAGAAGCCGCATTGATAAGTATTAGAGAAAATATAAATAACGAAAGGGTAAGTACGTTATTATGATTATAATTTTCACCATTTTTCATTCATTTATTCATTCAATAATTTATTTGAAATTTTTTTTTTTCATTCTAGATTTCATATGATCATTTGATTAAAGCAAGATCCGTTTGTAAAGCATCTTTATTGAATTATAAACCCACTCATCCATTTCTGTAATTATTATGTATTTCAAATGATTTATTTTGGATAAATAGAAAATAATAATAATAATAATAATAAATTACAATTTATATGTACTAAATTAGATAATTTTATTAAATAAATATATTAAATTATATAGATATTTAAAAAATATTCTAATAATAAATGCAAAGTATAGATATACAAATGTTCTAATATATCAGAAATAGATTAAAAAAAATATTAAAGATATAATAAAAATAAAATACAAATAAAATATAATAAGTACAATAAAAATGGATTAAAATATATATTATCTAAAAAAATAGGATTGAAATATATATTTAAAAAAATGGATTAAAAATTTTTATTATTTTTCATTGCATTCCAAGTGCATCCAAAACTACTTTCTTCCTTTTTTCAATGTTATTTATTTCATCATCCGGAGTTTGAATATTAATATTTTTCTTATTTTGCATTTGCTGTTGCTGTCGTTCAAACTTTTTGACCTCTTCAAACATCGATTTCATAGATTTCATGGGTTTCCTGAGTTTTGGATCATTATCATTACATTTTTGATAAGATAATTCTTGCCCTATGTCAGTATCAACGTCAGGTATTATATCAGGTATATCAAGTGAATTGGATGAATTGGATGAATCGGATGAACCAGGTGAGTCAGGTGTTTTCCTTGATAATAACGTCCGGGATTTACGAATAAGATATAATGCTTTCACGCATTTAATAAGTTCTGGTTCAAATAAAAAAAAATAAAAAAAAAAAAGATAAAGTTAAAAGGTTTTCTTAATAAATCAATCAATCAATAAATACATAATAATACAAAGATGTATATACATACCAACTTTTTCTGTATTTGCTTCAATTCCATTCATTTGGGGTGGTAATGGATATAATAATTTTGCGCTCATTATAATTTCACTAACATATTTGTCACCAGAAACTAAATAAATAAATAATTAATTAATTAAATAGAAATAATTAAATAATAATTAAAAAAAAATAATAATAATAATTAAATTAATAATTACGAATTGATTCTGAGATAACTTTTTCACATGTTTCCAATGGAAATTCTTTATATTTTTTTATTCGATCTTGTAAAATCTTTTCAGTCTTAATCATCATTTCAATTTGTTCTGTCGTCAAACAATCCTCTGAACCATTATAATGCAATAATTCTAATAAAACTTCTGTGGCCATCTACCAATTTAAATATATATAAATCATATAAATCACATATAAATCGTATAAAATCATATAAATCACATAAATCATATATAAATCATAAATAAATCATATAATCACATAAATCATATAAATCCCTTATGAATAATATAAATCATATAAATAAATAAATAGATAGATAGATAGATAGATAGATAGAAATTTACCTGAAGTGTTATTGTTCGACAATAAGGATAATATTCACATAATAATGTTAAAATCATTTGAACCAATTCACCACGATAATTACGAGTATGTTGAGATCCATAATTATTAACATTATTTTCACTAGATATTTTTATAGTGGGTATAGGGATAGATAATGATCCTCCTGATTCTCTTCTTCCATATCTATCAACATCATCTTCAATAAATAATCCATTTACAGATTTATTATTATTATTATTGTTGTTGTTGTTATTATTATTATTATTATTATGAAGATCTGAAAATAAAGGTCTTATTTGTGACATTGAAGTTGCTGTTGACGCCATTGATGATGATGTATAAAATGAAAATGAATCATCATCCGAATAATCACTTGTCAATGAATCCTAAAAATATATATATATATAACAAATAATTAAAAATAATTATAAAAAAAAAATAGAAAATAAATATGATAAACAGAACAGATTAAATAATATAAATAAATAATAAATAAATAATAAATAAAAAATGAATAAATAAATAAATAAATAAAATAAATAAAATATAAATAAAATAAATAGAAATATAAACAAATATAAAATAAATATAAAATAAGTATAAAATAAATATAAAATAAAATATAATAAATATTACCAACCATTAATCGACGTTTCTTAAATAACTTTTGCGGATACACATCCGTAGCAATTAAAACATCGGGTGTTATGGCATTATTACGACATGACATATATAATAAACAAAGTGCGGGTAGAGTATTTAAATCATAATAATATTGATTTTTTGATTTTTCGGGTTTAAGAAATCCCATAATTGCTTCTCGATATAAATTTCTTCTAAACCATGAATTCGAATATTCAAATCTGGTAGGTGGTGAACTTGAATAATCCATCATACTCGTAGAATTTGAAAATAACATTACGACCATTGACGTGACTAATGGAGTATGTCGAAATATGTGTAATACATGACAAAGTAGAGCGAGTGCTATTACTGAATCAATTCTTACTCTCTAATAATAAATAAATATATTTAAAAAAAATTATTATTATTGTTATATTAATGAATTATCTCGTGAAGTATTTGATTTATTTATCCTTGAAATTCATTTTGAGGATGATTTTTTGAAAATTTTTACCTGTTTTGAAGGTAAGAATTTCTTTTTTACTAAACTATCCGCGTAAATTGGTTGTATCAATAAATCCATTAAATGAGCTGTTAATACTTGATTCATTTTTTCCATTCGAATATTGATGATATCATTTAAATAGTAAAAATTGTCACAATGTTCAGCCATGTGATAATTAAATAAGGAATATTTTTCATAATATCTATTAATTAAAATTAATTAGAATTAATTAATTAATTAAATTAAATTAATTCAAATTCAAATTAATTATAAACTAATTAATTAAATTATAATCCATACTTTGGTGAAATACTTATTTCATTTAATATTGAAGCATGATTGGAAATAAAGTAAACCAAATTTGAAAAAAATGGGGCCGCTTTTTTGTCCAATATAAAGTTTTGTAATTGTTCGTCATTAACTTTAAAAAAATGAAATAAATAAATATAAAAAAAAATTAAATTACAATATGATTTTTTAATAAAAAAATACATTATATTTGAATAATTTATTAATTTACCTGCAAATATATTTAATGTAATAGTTCGAGCAGCAACTCTTACCATACTTTCGTCTGAATTAAAAAATTTGACGGCTTCCGAATATCTATAATACATTGTTTGAGAATGAAATCAATTAAAAAGAAAAAAGAAAAAAGAAAAAAGAGAAGGTTCGGAATAATTTCACAAATCAGAAAAAAAAAATCACTACTAACAAAGGAAAATCGTCAATGTGCTAAAATAAGAAGAAAAGATATCCAAGAAAAATAAAATAAAATACAATTAATAAATAATAATAATGATGATGATAATAATAATAATAATAATAATAATAATAATAATAATAATAATAATATAGTAAAGGCAATAATAAATCTAACCAACCTCATTAAAAAAGAAACATAATGTGCTTTTGGCAAGTTTGGCAGAGAGTGTACGTAATAGGGAAATAAAGTAAGCCAATATTTCATCATTTGAAAAATCAAATTCGTGGCATATTATTTTATTTACATAATTATTTGATAAAAAAAAATCTTTTTTTATTAAAAAAAAAAAAGAGAAAATGAGTAATCAGAAACATAATAATAAAATCCATGATAATAATAATAAAAAAAAATAATAATGAAAATACTCACATAATGAAGTTAATTCATGAATATTTTCAAATAATATATTCATAGTTTGTAATAATTGTTTTGTGACATGTGGACTTTTGGTTTCCTCCAAAATCTTTAAGAAAACATGATGAATATATCGTTCAAAAAAATAATCAAGTAATTCTCGTTTATTTTGATCACCTAAAATTATTTTATAATTCACAACAAAACTTTTGAATTTAAATGTAAATTAACAAAAAATATAATGAAATATAATAATAATAACAAAATATGGTGATAAAAATATCATAATAATAAGATATGATGATAAAAATATAATAATGAAACAAAAATAACGTGTCATATTCCAGTATTTTTAAATGAATCAATAAATATAAATAAATGAATAAACAAATAAATAAATTAACGCATACCCCAAACTAGAACTTGAGTTAATTCCCTCAATGATTCTATCAGACCCGCATCATTTCCACGTTTAGAATAATCCAAGAGTAATTCGCTTAAACGTCTATTATATTATTATTTATTTTATTATTATCATTAATTATTATTATTATTATTATGTACAAAGTATTAGTATTATTTTAAAGAGAAGAGATAATTTTCGTGTGATCTGTCATTAATTGATAATTATTATTATTACTTGATATTTTCCACTGAATATTTTTCAATTTTAGGTGAATTCCAAAAAAAAAATCTAAACATCTTTGAAGTTGTGTTGGGAGTAGAAGGTGTGGTGGGCGTGATAGGCGTACTGGGAGAATCAAGTTTATTATTAGTATCTGTTTGTGAGCTAAGCTCTTTAGTTGATAACATAAATAAGCCTCTCATTTTTTTTTTTTTAATATTAACTAATTATAACTAATTATTTTATTATTATTTTTTAACTAATTATTTTTTTTTTTATTTAATTATCAAGATATTTTGATTTTTTTTTTTTTTATGAAAAAAAAAAGAACTCATTATAAACAAAATAAAAAATATGTACCAGTATATCAACCTGCATGAGAAGTTTAAAGTTTACAAATAAAATATATATAAAACGATAAACTTCTAAGGGGTTACAAATGTTTACGTAAAATCAAGTGTATTATGTAAATCAAATAGTCTGTGATATAGTTTTTGTAAGTATAATTTTTTCTTTTTTCAATTTTTCCTTGACAAAGATTACGCTCTCTGCAGGTACAGACTAAAATTCATCCTATTAATAATAAAATATCACATGTATTACATAATCATATAAAATTCCCAAATAAAAAATAAACAATATTAAATTATTTATTAAAAAAGAATAAAGATTACCTGCCACAAATGTTTTATGAATTATGAAAAGTCAAGAATCGGATGGTTAGAAAACCTGTTTTATGCCAAATATTGAAATTTGAAATATTATATAAATAATATAAATAGGAATTTCTAATTTTTGAATTTTTGGTGATTCATACCAAATTTAAATTCCTATTTATAAAATTAGAAATTCTGATTTATAGATTTAAATTTACTGTAATTATAAATTTTCAAAAATCAAAATTCCATTATAAAAAAAAAATTTGATATTTATTGGTTGATTATCATGTGAATGTACTGTTTATTTAACAATATATTTGTGTAATAACTCTAATATACTTATCAAAAAACTTAGCACTAGAAATTTTCTCTCAGTTTTCAAAATTCAAAATGGATGAAGTTAAAGAATTTGATGATTTGAAAGAAAAAACAATAAAACAATAAGTGAACTTGAAGAACTAGTACTTATCATTATTACAATATAAGTATTTTACATTAAATTTAATATTCATTATGTAATATTTTTGATAAAAAAGGTTCAAAAAAACTATAACAAACTGAATTTCAATAAACTTAAAATTTCATTTAATGAGAAAATTGATAAGGTAAAGAATTATGTTGAAGATAAAAAATCCAAAAAATCAAAGAAAGAATCTAAAGAATCAGAAGTTAAATTTAATAAAAAATATAAAAGTAAACTTTATTCATATTATCAGTAATATAAATTATTATTAGTAATACAAATTATTAATTATATTATTCCTAACTACTTTTATATTAATAAGTTTATAAAAGTGAACTTGAAATGCTTAGAATTCTTATTTCTCAAATTATATCTTTTATAGAACAACCTAATATATGGTTTTCTAAAATTTATAATATTACAACAAAGTAAATAATTATTATTTAAGCTTATTTTATTATTTTTTTTTATCTTAATTTAACATGTAAAATTTTATTTAATTATTAGAATTGAAACATTTTTAAAAAAAATTAAAGAAAAAAATATTAACAAGCAGATCACACAAGATTTGAGATATGAATTAATTGTTACAAGTGAAAAAATGCATAACTTTATTTTTTTTATTAACATTAAGGTTAAAAAACCATTGAAAATGAAAATATAACAAACTTTTGCATTAAGTGTACATCAGTGAATTTTTATAATCATCACTGAACTGTTTTATATAATTATCTATGATTGGTTATTTATCTATTCTAATAATACTTTTTATTAATTTTAATCTATTGTGTTGTTACTAGTTAACTTTTTGAATTAATTTTATTTTTCAAAAGGCAATTTAAAACTAGCAACTTGTAAACAGTTATTTTAGTTTACAAATTGAAAGAAATAATTTAAGTTAAATACTAAAACTAGTCAAAAGACTTAAGAATTTATAATTACAGGAATTAAATTAATGATTAACAGTTAAATTTTAAAGGTTAATTTAAGAAATTAAAGCAAGAGTTAAATATATTTATCAATGGTTTATAAAATAGTAACAGAAATTTATTGATTAGAATTTATATTCTTTGAATATAAATTAGTAAAGAATAACAGATTTTTAATATAGAAAACATAAGTTTATTATGAAGAAAAATCAATAATCCAGTTACTTTAGAATTCTAAAAATATTAATTCAATTATAGAATTAATTACAGTTGAAATTACTTTCTAAATTTTACTATTAAAACTATTTGAATCTAATTCGAACTAATTAAATTTGTCTTGGAGTGGAAAGAAAACTTACCTTTTTTATAATATTTGATTTGACTAATAAGTTAGTTAGTAAGTTGGTCAAAATCTTGCCCAGTAATTGTGTCAATTAGTTGGTCACTAAGTTGGTCAATCAGTTGGCCACTAAATTAGTCAGTAAATTGATCAGTAACTGATCTACATTATTGATTTACATATTTTGTATTACACTAATAAATACTAATTATAACTAATAAAATATACAAATAACAAAATAAGAAATAAAATAAAATAATAAAAAAAATTATTAAAATGGAGGAAACTCATAGTAATAATGGTAATACATAATTGTTAACTTATTATTTTCCTTATAATTATATACAATCGTTGAATCATATAATTTATGACAATTTGTACAAACTGCCATCCTTAATTTTGATTGAAAAATTCCTAACTTCTTTTTTGCTAAAAATAAAAAAACAAGAAATTTGCAAAACTTAGAATTATCAATCATCATAAGGATATGGTTTAAAAATTTAATTAAGGCATTCAGTGCCATATCAAGTATCTGATATCTTTTTTGAAGCTTAAATAACCATAAAAGAATTTCTATATCTAATTTATCTTCCAACTCTACTTCTTTATAATTTTTCTCTTCATACTCTAATTCAGGTATACCAAATAAATTATTAAATATTTTTTCATCATTTGTATCATCATTTTCATTTACATCTACATCATCAATACCAATTTTATCATTGTTATTTTCTTCATCATTTTTATCATTTTCATTTTCATAATCATTATAATTTATTAAATTATCTCCTAACTCATCTTGTAAATCAAATAAAATTTCATCATCACAAATATTAGTCATCAGTTCTTCTATTTGGGATCTATGAAACTTATCATTTCTTGTACATGATGATGATGTCACAATTATTTTTCCACCAAAATTCAAACCTCTAAGCATATTATTTATAAACACATTTCTAATTAACTTAGATACATCAGATGTTTTCTTAACAGACAAACTTCATTTTCTTTTTTTGCTATTCTTATTTGACAATATATTTTCATCCACCCAAGATTCATTCATTTAATTATTATAAATGTTACATAAGTTAAAATTTTATATATCAGATACATGATAAATGTTCGATATGATCATTTATGTCCGATTTACATCTAATATGTATAAAAGTTGTTACTTCAACATATGTAATTAACTTACCTTCATAATTAAACTTTCTTGTTTCTAATTGAATTTTTTTTTTTATTAGATTTTCACAAAATTTTGTCATTAGCATGTTTTTTCTAAATCTGTATCTCAACTTCTTTTCCTTCACATGCTATACAATTACAAATATATTTGTAATTTTTTCTAAAATTTATTAAATCAAACAAAGATTTCTCTCAAGCAGTTAATTTTTGGATTTCATTTTTTAAGTAAGATATTCAAAGATATATTAGTAAAAATTCTTTAATAAATTTATTTTCAAAGTGTTTTTTAAAATATTCACTTTGTCAAATTCTTGTTTTTTTATAATGTACAAAAATTATTTACAAAATTCAAAATTCATATTTTTAAATTTCATATTTTCAAAATTTACATCTTCAAAATACACATTTTCAAAATTTACATTGTCTCAAAATTTATTTGGTTAATATATTTTTTATATAGTAATAATTTATATTCATAAATATATATAGTAATGATTTATATTTATTAATATAAATAATATAAATTTTAATATATTATATAATACTCCTCTGATCTGATATCCTATATATACAAATAAATAAATACCTCTTTTTAATTATCATTAATATCATCTCTCTCTCTTTAATATATATAATACTTCTTTATGACTTATTTTTATCTACTTCTTTAAAATATATAATATTAACAATACTATATTATACATATATTATAATTTTTATAATGTAATACTATAATTTTCATAATATGAAGATATGAAAATATAAACTAGAGCCCTGATAAGTATATTTTTATTTTTATTTTAATTTTGTGTTCTCAAATATAAATAACTAATTTTTTCTTTTTTCAACCTTACCTTTTTCTTGAATTTAAAAATTTTTAAAATATTAAAAAATTAAAATACTTTATTTTTAAATATATTTATAAACATATATTATATTCATTTTAACTATATACGAAAATAATATATTATAAATAAATTTTCAAAAATATTATGTAAATATTATAATTATCTCTAATAATATCATATAATATGTCTGATATACGTGTTGCCCAAATCCCAAATTACTAGTATTTGGGATTTGGGATTTGGGATTTCGGCAAAAAATACTAATTATAATTTGGAATTTGGGATTTGGGATTTTAGCATTTGGGATTTTGGCATTTGGATTTTGAATTTGGGTGGCAGGTATAATGTCTGATATCATACTTTTTGATATCATTATATTAATATCAAAAAATATGATATAATAATTAATAACTTTACCTTTTTATAATGTAATCATTAATTCAACTATTCAAAAATGTAATATATAAAAAATTGCTTTTTCTTTTTTTTCCTTTTTAAGAAAAATTATTTTATTTAAATAAATTAAAATAATTAGATAGTTAGTAAAAATAAAATATAAAATAATTTTTTTTTATAAAATGACAAAATTTAAATTAAAAAATATTTTTTATCTAATTAAGATATTAAAAAAGAAAACTTGAAATAGAATATTGAAAAAAGGTAAATTAATAATTAATTAATTAATTAATTATTTGTTTATGATATAATAATTATAATTATGACTAATATATACAATATTAATAGAATACGAACAAGTGAGAAGAATTTTTACTAAA